CAAAGATGTATTACCACCACCGTTTGATGTCAGTGAGCAAGTGTGTCAGGAGAATATGGTATGCTGAGTGAGTGAGTATGTGTGCTTGGCCTTTGCCTCTTGTGTGACTGTGTAATCTGTACTCTTTCCAGTTCTCCATGGTGGAGAGGAGGTTATGGGGCTCAGGTCTGTTTGGCGGCACCCGGAAGTTGCTCGACGTCCTCTCTGATTCAAATTCTAAAATATGTTTACGATCTATGTATAATTTTGTCATCCTGATAAAGTTTATTTCCTTGTTAAACAGGTTTTTTCCTTATCCAAATCTAGGGTCTAAGATTAGAGAGGTCATCTGCTGTACAGATTATAAAGCCCCTTGACACAAATTTGTGATGTTTGGTATTTGGCTATATAAAGGAAATGGACTTGAAAATGTGACAGCCAACACAAACACCAGGCATGATTCTTCAGGGGCTGAGTATCAGCACTGAGATTTAATCCTTGACAAGAACTATCAGCAACAGCTCAGACAAAATCTAGTTTACCGGGAAAAGCCACATAGGACACTCTTTTGTCTTTTAGCAATCTGAAGACATTTGGGGAAAGCATGAGGTGATTCAGACTGATGCTGTAAGACACCTGATAGCCAGTTTGAAGTATGACATCTTTTTTACTCAAGCTGAAGTGGTTTTGGCTTTCAGTGAAGTGCATGCGAAGCACCAAAAACATTTTAAGGACTCATCATGGAACACTGTGTAAAAACTGTTGTACTACATCAGTTATTTTAAAGCAGCGACCAGTCAACGTTTAGTCTACAAGAACCACAAGACAATTCGTTAAGTTTGTCTGTGCCAAATCAAACTTGACCAGACTGCATGGGTATTTTCTAATATGTCAGACCTGAAACGACCCACACCGTGCTGCATTCCCACACCTTAACTCACCTTTCATTTTTGGAATACCTTCATTTATAGTGTATTTCTGCACATCGACTTTCTCATTTGAAATCTAACAACTTCCGTGTCAGTTCTAGTTTGAAATGTTCCTGTTATGGTTTGCAATGACTCTCTAAAATGGCTTGTAAGGTCTTTTTTCTTTCAGTGGAGATTCCCTTTATCCCTTTTGGTTATGGGTGAGCGCATTTATGGATGTCAAAATGGGTACTAAGAAATGAATATGAATCAGAAAGAAGAACTTTAACTTCAGAGCTTCATGTTCAAAGTGATGATTTATCTAGCATGGCTTTTTTTTTTATACAGTACAAAAATGAATGATGTCAAACAGCTTCCTAAGAACGTAAGACTACATGTCCTGATAACTCCATCTATGCTGTAGCATAGGGTGGAAAGAACCAATAAAAACATTATAAGGGGGGTGACATAGACGATTGTCAGAGGCTAAAAAACATCAAAAAGGACTGAGACATAGAAAGGGAGAAACTGAAAAGATTTAGGTGGAGTTAGCCTTTACATCGCCTAAAGCAAATACTGTATGTATAACTGAAGAGTGCAATTAAATGAGGCAGCCCTTTGTCTTACTGAACCTTTTTTTAGACATTCTTTTTTATGTTTGCTCAACTCCTATTATGCATCCCAAGCCTTCTTGTGAAAGAGTAAAATTCTCCATGGATATCAGGGCTCTCAAGTCTCACGCATTCACCGTGAGACACACGCATTTCAGCCAGTTCACACGCTCACACGCCACACCTTGTATTTCTCACGCTAAGAAACTGGCTAAGTTAAGAAATAACGTCCTCGAAGTTGTCCCGCTATATTCGAAAGACGAAATCACTTGCCTGCGATCAAAGAGTGAGAGCGGCTGATGTTGGGGAGTACAGCCAAATTTTCCTCAAGTGACCTTCACAATGCTTATTTTGTCAGTCCAAACCTCATAATGATTAAAATAGGTCTGGATTAAAATAATCAAAAGTAAAAGCTGCAAATCAAATGATTAATACTAAAACAATTGCCAATTAAATTTCTGTCAATTAGCCTTACTGATGTAGTTCTACTAGACTGGACTGGACTTGTATAAACTGTTAAGTAATTTAAAGTAATTTTTTAAACTCTTAATATGTTTTGTGTGTAAAAAGTTAATTTTTTTAAAGTAACTAGTAACTGAAGCTGTCAGATAAAGTAAAAAGTACAATATCCCTTTGAGATGTGGTGGAGTAGTAGAAAGTGGCATGAAAAATAAATACTCAAGTTCAGTACAAATACCTTAAGTACAGTACTATCTTGATACAGTCCACCACTGGGCTTAGCTTTGGCTATCTGAAACTAAGGAAAGGACTAGAGATGTTTTTCTATATTTTGGCTCTGGTTGGAAAGCTATCATCCATCATGATGGTGTAAATGGCAGACCTTGAGCCACGGTGCTTTAAGTGGGAGCCCCCTACCCCGTCATTCAAGGCAATAAAATGTGCAACAAACAATTACAACACAAGACACCATCAGCTGAAATGTGTAGCCTACTCTCACACACAGCTTAGCATACATGCATAGGGCAAGTTCTGCCATCCTGTAGGCCTTAGATTAAAACGCAGTACCTGCATTGGT